TAGAGCAACTCTCCACTCGGACAAGCCATAGTGGCTCTGATGGATGGAACAGGCAGGGAAGCTAAGTTCCCTCCAAGCTGCGCAGCCGCCCAGCACTCTATCAAGGGCTGCACACTTCAGGTGCACAGAACAGAGGGGAGGGGGGACGCTGATGTCAGGGTGTCCCCCTCCCCCTCCTTCCCCTGTGGCCCATCTCCACAGAGTGGAGGGGGGGGAAATACAATGGGGCTCAGGAGTGGGACGGAGGGAGAGGCTGCTGCTGTGTCTGAACAAGCAGGCTTCAGACTGATGAGTGCCAATCTTCTTAAAAGGGCAGCGTACTTAAAGGGCCAACTTGTCTCACACACACACACAGTGTGTGTGTGTCTCTCTCACACGCACCTCCCAATACATACTTGTTTTATTATTGTTGTTTTATCTCTTGATACTTCTTTCAAAGTGTGTTATTTTAGTTTTTTGACTGGTCTATGCATTTCGTAATTTTTATTTCACTCTTACGCTTAAATTTAATTCTTTGAGTGGGGATTTCTCAATTGTCCAACCTGTCCTGGCTGGAATAATTATCCCTATGGTAACTTTTTAAAAATATATACTATAGCTAGGTTTTTTTGTTTCTACTGGTGGCACACATCTGCACATTACCTCGATATGGTGCACAACAAAATTCATTCCACACATGGATGGAAAAAATTAGAGGGAACATTGCAGGGAAGCATTAGCATTCCCCTTCCCGACCAAACACATGTAGTTTGTCAGATTCAGACTGTGCCTCTCTTCCACAGCAGAGGCACTAGCTGAGTTTGTTAATACAATTTAGCTGGAACCATTCCCTCTACCTTCTCATCACCTTTTCCACAACAGCCACAAGCATCACCACTCCCTGCAACACCCTGAGCTTTCCTTGCAGGTCTCCCATCCAATCAGTGACCAGGCCCAACCTTGTTTAGTTACACGAGTTAGCTCGTAATTAAACAAGAGAGATCACAGCTGAATCTGCTATAGCATTAGCCAATATTCTATCATTAAGAAATCTCCCTGTTGACATGCATTAGCTGGAAAATGTCTGACATTGTTGCGAATCCTACTTCAGATTTTCATTTTAAGAAAAAAAAAAAAAGCTAAAAATTTGACAAGTAGTATTCACACTTTTTTTGGATGCCATAAATCAGTCCCTCCTCTCTGTACTTTTCTAACTCAATTAATGTCATTTCCTCTCTTCTTGTCTTTTAATGCCAGTTTCATACCGCTCCTTTTGGTGAAATTAACAAGGAACAAAACAAAGAGGAAGAACAGAACAAAAATCAGCCACTCAATTCAAAGGGGTTGGATCTAGTCTGTAAAAGACAGACATACAGGTGAGTTCAGCAGGGAATCTGCCACTTTTCCAGTGGAAAATCTGCTTCAGTTATAAGCTCTTCTAGATAAGGACTAAGCCTTCCTATATGTGTGTGTGGCACCACTGGCACACTTGCAGCCCAACTGTACTATAAATAAATCACTAATAATTGAGATCCTTACTTCTAACTTCGTAACAGTTGTAACTGCTGTACTATTTTGTCATTTGATTGTGGTTGCCATTCAGAGTGATCATACTCTTCTAGAGGAGCATTGTTCCCGTTTAGCCAAAGGAATGTTGGCTGGAGTGCCACACAACTGGCATCTCTGTGGTCATGCCCTTTGAAAATGCTTTCACTATAGGTTATGAAGGGAGGTAAGCAAGATGGAGGTACTGCTAGGTCAGCCAATAATGGGGATTCGAAAGCAGAACTGAGACTTACACAATATAAATCTTTTTATTAACCTGTCTGCTTGCCCTGAATGACATGCCATCACTTTACAGGAGACGCATGCCCAAGCCCAGATAATGGAATACTGCTGATTGCAGGAGCCATGGAAATAGAAATATTTATGTCTGCATTGCACTGTAGACTCACCAGCCTAAAAGTGGTGAGCAGAACACCTTTCAGGATTGTTAGGATCGTCAGCACTTAGGGTCTGAGGCTTTTCTTAATAGAAAGCTACTCCCAAACACGAGAGACAGGGTGTGACGAAGTGGGGGATTTTCTTGTTTTTTCCTGGTCTTTCCAATGGTTTGCATGCAGAGGGGGTGGGACTCAGTTTCCCTGGGTGTTATTGGTTTAACGAGGTGAGGGGAGAGGGAGTTTGCTGTTACAGAGGACCGGAAAGGGAACTTGGGACCCCAGCCAATGGTCTGGAGGACGGATACCTCAGCGACTGGTGACCTGACGACCTGGTGACCCGGAGGCCCAGCTCAGGAGTCGCAGCCGGTTCTGGCCAGTGGGAGGCCAATGGGCTGTAAAGAGACGACCCCGGGGACCTAACCAGCCGGTTCCAGCCAGAGGGGACCAGAGGACAGAAGGGAGGAGAGGAGGCCCAGGCCACCCTGTTTACAACCCTGTTTACCTGGAGAGAAGACAATGGACAGAGGTGGGGCTTGGGGCCCGTGATATCAGATGCCCAGCTGGGAAGCAGGGGGGCTCGGGACTGGAGAGAGGGAGCAGGCAGAGCCCACCTGGATGCAGGGGAGACTGGGATGTGCTGTGCTGAGGGAGGCCAGGCCTGAGGCCCTGAGAGTTTCCTGTGCTGTGTTCAACGCTCAATAAACCCTCCTGT